CAATGGTATATTTAGAGTTAGTTACCCATTCCCATAAAAGGTCATCAGGACTAATTGCATCACGACTTGAATCTAAGCCTGGAAGTGAGCCTGATGCTGCCTGGCATGGCCCCAGTCCACTGGCTTTCCCATTTCCTGGGTGGGTATTTGCAGTTCTGGCTCATTTCTAAGAACGCCTTCCCTGTCTTTGCTTTTAGCTGATGACACTGCTTCTTTTCCTGAGAAAATTCCTCTGATGGCAATAAATGACATCTGTCCAGCTACCTGTATCTATTTGGTCACATGTTCCTCTCCTTTCCTCTCCTTTTCTATAGAATAACTGTCCTTTTCCAAGGTCAATCCTTTCTCTTGGGTCTTAAATCTTTCTATTTTTTCCTTTTTTTGCTTCTTCAAGAATACTGCTCTCATTTTTTCCTCTTCTTACATCAACAATTTTCCCTTTTCTACCAAATCTTTTCCATTAGCATACACACATAGCTTTCATCTTTAAAAAACATATTCTCACTTTCATCTGTCTTTAGTATGGCAGACATACTACTATGTCTACCACTCCACTCTTCTGCTCCCCTTGACACCAAGTCTCAAATTGTTTTTAATCACTGTGATCAGTTCTCCCTCAATCTCTTTTCAGCTCTTGTTATGGTTTATATCTAGATGTCCCCCAAAGCCTCCCGCACTCATGCTGTTGTGGCAGAGCAGCTCAGTGCTATAGCCAAGTGTTACAGCTCAGTGTCACAGATAAGTGCCACAGCTGAGCTTTACAACTTGAGAATCTGATGGTCAGTTGAAGAGGTGGGAAAAAACCTTTATGATGCCATCAAGCCCCTAGCTGGCTCAGAGGAGTCTGAGTGTCCTACCAGAAAGGAGTGCCTCCTTATATAGGTATCTACAGGGTAGGTGAGCATGCTCACTGAAGCGGGGGGGGGGGGGGAGTTACAGAACATTCCTGATAGGGGTGGAGCTTAACAGAACCTTCTTGTGAGGGGGCGGGACTTAACAGAACATTCCTGAAAGGTCACACAGTTGTCACAAACCATTCTGATACACTGGGCAGGTGCCCAGCAGCACAAACTTACATTTCCAAAGCAAAACATCTGTGGGAAAAATGGAGGCAAGGCCAGGGCCTGTCTTATTGCGTAGCGCTTCTCTTTCAGTAGGTGGACCCTGTGGGAGGTGACTGGATCATGGGGTATGATACTCACCACTGGATTAGTCCACTGATGAGTTTATAGCTATCTATGATTTTGGGAGGTGAAGCCGGGTTGGGAGAGTGGGTCACTGGGGTGTGGCCTGCAAGGGTCCATCTCCCTCCCTCCTCCCTTCATCTCTCTCTGCTTCCTGTCTGCCACACTAGAAGCTGTTTCTCCTCTGCGCTGCCCCTCTGCCATGCCTCCCTGCCTTGGAGTCAGCCGACTATGGACTGAACCCTCCACACACTGAGACAAAATAAACGTCTCCTCCTTCAATTTGTGGGTGTCAGGTATTTTGTCCCAGCAATGGGAAAATAACTAAGACAACTCCTTTCTTTCTAAATCTGACAGTCAATTTTAAATTTCTCCTCTCTGCATCCCCTTAGCAGGCTCACCCCAGCTGATCTCCACCTTGTGCACCACAGCCCCTGTGTTCTCCGATTTTCTTACCTTGCCAGCTGCTCCCTCTTGGCTGTGTTGCCAGCTCTTCCTTCTCCGCCTGGCCTCCCATCCTGAAGCACAATCTCTGAATGTTTCCTCTTCTCCTTCTACCTTCGTGCTCAAGTGCTCTCCTTCAATCTTAGTCACCTTCTTTGTCACTGAAACACAATACCCACACCTGCAACTTAAAGGAAGACAGGTTTATTTTGGTGGTTTCAGTGGAGTCGGCAGAAATGGGCCAAGAGAAGGGTTCGGGTGAGGGACAGCTGCTCATCCCCTGGAAGACAGGAAGCAAAGTGAGGAGATGTCCCAGGGGCTGGTCCAGCCAGACCCCCTCCCAACAGAAAGTCACCCCATGGTCCAATGGCCTTCCACACACAAGAGAATCTGGGGGACATGTTAGATCTAACCACAACATCCACCCTCGTGGTTGGGCAGGTGATCGGGCAGTGCCTGGAGAAATTTTTGGTTGTCACAACTGGGCACTGGTGCTGCTGGTATCTCCAGAAGTGAGACCAGGGATGCTACTGAATGTCCTCCAATGCACAGGACAGCCCTCCACAGCCCAGCAGTAACTCGTTCAAATGTCAGCAGTGCTGAGGATGAGAAGCCTTGGCCTACCTGGACCTCTTCTCCACAGTCTAGACATACATGTCCAAAACCCTATTTGTATTTATCACAAACCTCAACCTTAACACACCTCACACTGGAGGTTGGATCCCCTGGCTTTAGCTCGGCTTCTGTAGAAAACAAAACCGGAGAAGGGACTTAAGTACTGATGGTTTTGTGGCAGGTGTGAACTAAGGTCGTGAGCATACGGGAGCAGGAAAATTAGACAGAAAACGATCGGGCACAAATTCAAGATGACGAGTTACAAGCTAGTCCCTGCTTCGTGAGCAGAGCCACAACCGGTCACCAGAACAAGTGGTTTGTTTGCCACGAGGAGAGTAGGGGTGGGAAGGGAGATTTCTCTGCTCTCCATTCTGGCTCGATCTGCACTGGGCAAGCTCCAATCTGCCACTGAGCTACTGCAGTGTATCCGGGGGCTGTAGGGCTCCCTGCAGTCGGGAGGAGCCCAGATCCCCCTCAGTGGAGCAAGTCAACCTCAGGAGACGGCTCTTCCAGGAATACCTACTGTAGAGCAGGAGAGGGGAGTGGAGGCGACTCTGCAGCCCCGCGTGGTGGAGGCGCACAGGGCCCCAGACTTTGCATGGTTTACAGGCAGGTGGGTAGAAAGCGCCCCAAGCATTCAGGGCACGCATCGCTGCCATGTGGTGTCTAAGGCCGCAGCCAGGGGACACTGATGAAATGTTCCTCTTTCCATCACAGATCCTGCCTTTCCATCCGGAGACGGAGGCTCATTTCAAACAGTCCCCTTCGCAGCCTCCCCACGCTAAGCACTCGTTGCTTATGCCACTTAATAACTTCGAACGTGTGCACGGCCACAGCAGTCTTCAAAAGCCCAAATTACATTCTATCACACTGATGCAAGTTCTTCAATATCTTCCCACTGCGCTCAGAATAAAATGAAATTTTCTTACCACCGGCTAAGCGGCTCTGCCTCACCTGGCCTCTGCTTACCTTTCTGTTTTACCTTCTGCGACATTTCCTCGGTGACATTTTTCTACCCATACTGATCTTTCTTTTCCCAGTACACTAAGTCGGCCCTTGGTCTAGGACCTCTGCATTCGCTCTTCTATCCATGGTCCGAGATCTTGCTATCCGAGGCTCTTCCTCCCCTTGAGGCATCTTGTTCAAATGATACCCCGTAGAGAGGCCCTTCCTACCAGCAAGTCTGCATGTTACTCTCTAGCCCTTCCTACTTCTTCCTACTTTCCGTTACCGGATATTATAGTACGGGCCTGTTTTCTGTCTCTATCCCACCGGAATGTGAGCTCCGCAGGGTCCAGGCCTCGTGCATCTTCGTCACTCCCATGTCTTTGGTGCTGAAACTGTTTCGTACAGCCCCAATCGGAGCGCACCCCGGGGAGCTGGGACGGCCAGGGGCGAGGCAGGTCGGAGAGCAGCAGGAGGGCAGGGAAGCCCCGCGCACCCCGCGCGCCCCACGCGGTCCAAGTTTGCTGTGTGCGGCAGGCTTGTGTCGGGCGGACGCTAACGGCAGCAGCGACAGCGCCAGGGCGGAGCTCCTAATCATTTCTACCCGGGCTTTCCTTTGCAGGAAAGCCGGGGTACAGAGGGTTACTGATCCGGAGGGCGGAGAGAAGAGCCCTTCGCTCTCCGAGAGGAACGCGGTCTGGCCAGAGGAGGAGGACCTGCACCGCTCCGCAGGGCCGGCCGCGCCTTCCGCCGCCTCCGCAGAGCCGATCCCCGCGCGGACCAAAGCGGGGGCGGCGGGGCGGTGCGGGCGGCGCGCGCCGGTGGTGCGAAGGGGCGGCCCCAGGCCGCGGGAGGAGCCAATCAGCGGCGGCCCTGGCTGCTCGCAGCTCCCGGCGACTCCGCAGCGAGGCGCGCACGCAGCCGCAGCTCGCCGGGCTCGGGCGCGCGGGGCGCCGGCGCGGGGACCCCCTTCCCGAGGCAGTTGCGAGCCCGGAACGGCCGGGAGGCGCTGGGCCGGGCGGGAGGCTGCGGGCGGCGGGGCGGCGGGGCGGCGGGGCGGAGGCGAGTGGGCGGCTCGCTTCTCAGACTCGCTCCAGTTGTGCCAAGTTAGCAGCCGGTCCCGAACCCTCGGAGCTCGGTACCCCGCCTCCAGAATAGCGCGCCCCCGGGAAACTTCGGCTCCCGCGGCAGGGCGAAGCGGGCCGGTGGCCAGCGCCGCCTTCTCCCGGCCCCTGGGGCAGACTCGCAGGGCTCTCGGGCTCCCCCAGATTTGCGCCCAGGGCCGGGCCGGGAGTGAGGCGACCGGCAGAAGGCCCCGCGGGAGGCCGGCGGCGCGGCGCAGGGCGGGGGCGAGGCCCAGGCAGCGCACACCCGCACGCGCCCCGGAGTCCTGCCAGGAGCAGCCGCGCCTGCACTGCGTCGGTCCTGACCGTCCCCGGTGCGAGTCCCGGAGGTCGCGCGGCCGGGCCCCGCCGTGCACCAGGCTGCAGGGTGGCGAGTTGAGGTCGGAAGGCCGCTCCAGCGGAGGACTGGGCAGCCCCTGGCCGCGCACCCTCTAGCGGGCCGCGCACCCTCCCGGGGCGCCCACCTCCGCGCCGCCGGCCTCCCCCGCCCTCCCTGCCCACGCCCGGGCGGGCCAATCGCGGCTCTGCGTTCCGGGCGCTTTCTCGGGTTTCTGCTGATCTTGCAGCGCCCAGAAATGGAGCGCGCGGACTCGCGGCCGCCGCACGCGTCCTGCCGCACTCCGCGCTGCTGAAGGCTCCGCGCGGGGCCGGGCCAGGGCCCGCTGGTGCGGGAGCGGAGGGCCATGTAGGCACCTCTTCGGGGTCCAGTCCCGAAGGCTCCCGCGGTGCACGGAGGGGCGCGAGTGCTGCCGACCAGCATTTGCCTCGGAGCCGCGGGAGAGGGTGGCGTCTTGCTCTTCCGCCCCGCATCCTCCGGAACTCCCTGCACCCCAGGCAGGACGCGGTCTCCGGGCTGGCACGGGGGTAGGGAAAGGACCTCACCGCCTCGGCCGCCCGGGAGAGCAACTGTCCGACTGAGAGGGGCGCAGCGCGCGAGGGGGGCGAGGGGCCGGGGCCTCGGATGCCTCCGGCGCTCCATGCTCTGCAAGGGCGCCCTGCCGCATTCCCGGGCTCGCCGCCGACCTGCACCGCCCTGCGCCACGCCGCCGGCCAGGTAGGGGGCTCCCCAGCTCGAGGCCACAGGGCGGGGGCGGGCGCCCGGGTTGGGGAGGCCGGAGGTGCGGGTGCTGCCCCGGGGACCCGGAGCTCCGCCAGCGGCGCTGGGCGTTATTCCGATCTCCAGTTTAACGAAGTTTAAAGGGATCGGCTGCTGGGCGCTGGGGAAAGTGGGGTCGAAGAGCCCCAAACTTGGATTTCTGGGTGTCTGCGTGTCTGTCTGTCTGTGTGCCTGTGACACCCCGGTAAAAGTCCAGTGTTATCTTAAACAGCTAGAAGTCTGTGCTCTTCGGTGTCTGTAGGTCCGTCCCCTCGGAACGCTTCTGATTTTCTACCCCCGTATCACTTTCTATTTCTCTGCAGCGTCCATCGATCGATCGCCCCGGTGGGAGCTTACAGGCGGCAGGCGAAGAGGGGCAGGAGGGGGGTGTCGGGCGCGGGGATCTGCTGAGCTGGCACCGCACCCGGTCCTGGGGGCTGGGGAGGGGAGGGGCGGCCAAGGCGAGCCCCCAGCCATGGCCCGGCCCGCTAGGTCGACCCCGCTTTAGGGCACCCGGGCAGGAGCAGGGGGAGATACCACACACAGCCTTGTCGGCAGACACAGGGTTCACCCCCAAACCAACCCTTCCAAAAAAAGAAAAACAGAGTAGCTGCACCCGGGCCCACTGGAGGAGGGGATCCCAAACCCAGGGAAAGGCGGGGTGAGGGAAGTGGGGGCCCAGCCCAGGCGCCCCGCTCCGGACCTGCTCTCTTCGAAGCCCCTCCCGCTGAGCGTGGGGGACGCGCGCTGACCGCTGGGGGCCGGGCCTCCCCATCCCGCGCCCCTCGCCTGTTCGCGGTGCCCCAGGCTCTCTCTTGGCCTCCCGCCCCTGCGCCCCGTTTCCACCATGACGGTGATGTCGGGGGACAACGTGGACGAAGCCTCAGCCGCTCCGGGCCACCCCCAGGAGGGCAGCTACCCCCGGCAGGCGGACCACGACGACCACGAGTGCTGCGAGCGCGTGGTGATCAACATCTCGGGGCTGCGCTTCGAGACGCAGCTCAAGACCCTGGCGCAGTTCCCCAACACGCTGCTGGGCAATCCCAAGAAGCGCATGCGCTACTTCGACCCGCTCCGCAACGAGTACTTCTTCGACCGGAACCGGCCCAGCTTCGACGCCATCCTCTACTACTACCAGTCGGGGGGCCGCCTGCGCCGGCCGGTCAACGTGCCCCTGGACATGTTCTCCGAGGAGATCAAATTCTACGAGTTGGGCGAGGAGGCCATGGAGAAATTCCGGGAGGACGAGGGCTTCATTAAGGAGGAGGAGCGCCCCCTGCCGGAGAAGGAGTACCAGCGCCAGGTGTGGCTGCTCTTCGAGTACCCGGAGAGCTCGGGGCCTGCGCGGGTCATCGCCATCGTGTCCGTCATGGTCATCCTCATCTCCATCGTCATTTTCTGCCTGGAGACGCTGCCCGAGCTGAAGGACGAGAAGGACTTCTCGGGCACCATCCACCGCATCGACAACAGCACGGTCGTCTACAGCTCCAACATCTTCACCGACCCCTTTTTCATTGTGGAGACCCTGTGCATTATCTGGTTCTCCTTCGAGCTGGTGGTGCGCTTCTTCGCCTGCCCCAGCAAGACGGACTTCTTTAAGAACATCATGAACTTCATCGACATCGTGGCCATCATCCCTTATTTCATCACCCTGGGCACGGAGATAGCGGAGCAGGAGGGGAACCAGAAGGGCGAGCAGGCCACCTCGCTGGCCATCCTCAGGGTCATCCGGCTGGTAAGGGTGTTTAGGATCTTCAAGCTCTCACGCCACTCCAAGGGCCTCCAGATCCTGGGCCAGACCCTCAAAGCTAGTATGAGGGAGCTAGGGCTGCTCATCTTTTTCCTCTTCATCGGGGTCATTCTGTTTTCTAGTGCAGTGTACTTTGCCGAGGCGGAAGAAGCTGAGTCTCACTTCTCCAGTATCCCCGATGCTTTCTGGTGGGCGGTGGTGTCAATGACCACTGTAGGATACGGTGACATGTACCCTGTGACAATTGGAGGCAAGATCGTGGGCTCCTTGTGTGCCATCGCTGGTGTGCTAACAATTGCCCTGCCCGTACCTGTCATTGTGTCCAATTTCAACTATTTCTACCACCGAGAAACTGAGGGGGAAGAGCAGGCTCAGCTGCTCCACGTCAGCTCTCCTAACTTAGCCTCTGACAGTGACCTCAGCCGCCGCAGCTCCTCCACTATGAGCAAGTCTGAGTACATGGAGATCGAAGAGGACATGAATAATAGCATAGCCCATTACAGACAGGCCAATATCAGAACTGGCAACTGTACCACAGCCAATCAGAACTGTGTTAATAAGAGCAAGCTACTGACCGATGTTTAGGAAGTGCAAGTAAGCGAGCAAGAAGCCCCCCTCGAAAGACTTAGACCCCCAGTGACCAGGTCACACTCTGTAGATACTTTCCTAAGTAGTCCTTGAATGCTTTACTTAACTGTCAATGCGTTGTTGCATTGTGAATTTTGGGAGTGGCGAACCAGAAACTTTCAGGATCCACGCACAAAAAAGGGAAACTATTTTCATTTTGTTTAAAAAAAAAAAAGGGAAAGGAAAGAGTATTTCGTAAAATCAGCTTTAAAAATGCAATCCATGAAACTAGTCCAGGTAAAATAAGATTCCTGTTTGCCTCTATTGAAACATTCCTAACTTTCTGGCTTCTTTAAAAAATCTTTTTAAACTAGACCCCGGATGATCAGTTAGAAATACAAAATTAAAATTTGCACGGAATCCCAACTTAAGATCTTTGCGAACCTCACGGCACGGTAGGGACAGCGCTTCTGATGTAATGTACCAGCTGCAGTGGGGAATGAATCCAGGGCTTTATTTTGATCAGCTGAGCTGCATATTGAAAGGTAAACAAAGCCCAAATCCCTTCAGACTGGTTCACAAAGCACCTGATCAATCTGATACTGGTCCTGATCTATGAGGATTTTCCCTCTGCCCCCTTCTCAGACTTCCAGTCCAGACTCTTTAAGAAAAGGATAGCCGAGTTAATGTGAGTGGTTCATCTGCAGAGCTGCTCAGATTTCCCAGCTGCAGGGGAACCCAGCACAGGCCTTTCTTCAGCAGCCTTGCACCTGACCCTGCCTCCAGAACTGGATGTCAAATCTTAGTCTCCTTATTGCAAGAGAGCACAAATGGAGTTACGTGTAAGCATGCTTGAATCTGGTAACATTTATTTTATTTATCGCATGCTGAGAACGTTAACCCAGACAATAGGGAGTAAGTTTACTTTGAAATCAACTCTTCTAAAAATAGATCCTTTTTCATTTGCATTCACCAAAAGTGCACTCCTTCATTTATTAAGTCTTTTAGTAAATAAAGGACTGTGTTTAAGTGCATATGTTAGTCAGATGGGGACACCAACTTTTTGGAGCTCACAGCATGTTCTCTTCTTCAGCATTATGGCCTATTTGATGAAGATGTACCTTGAATTAATTAATGCATGATTTCAGTAATAAAAACTTTAAAAATAATAAAAATTTACAAGTCCATGGGATGAAAGGCCCCAAAGAAATAATGGGTGGGGGTGGGGGACTCAGCCAACTTTGCCGGGGTCGGTCAGGCAATGGCAGGTTTCTGTGCAGGTCGGGCAGAGGGGACCAACGTGCCCATCCCTTAGACAGGAACCATGTGGAAACTCAGTACATCATCAAGGTATATATAGCAACACCTAAGAACAAGTAATCTTTCTAGTTGAAGATAAACCAAGCAAAACAAACACAAAAAAGGTGCAATATTGCATGTTTTTGGTGCATTCTTAGGATGTATGTGATAATGTTTATCTCTTGTATGCATCCAAAGCAGAGCTGAGTTCTTTTTGCAGTCATGATTTGAAGTCTGTTAAGACTTCAACCCTCCCCTTGAGGCTCCCTGAAGAAACTCACCCAGTTGATTTAATAGTTGTTTAGTGCCTTTATCCTGTACCCACAGCGAACTGCAGAAAGTGCCTCCGTAACACAGCTGAGAAGTTACGTAACAAGAGCGAGGAAGGGTTTGGGCACAGACACTTTGCTTTTCATTTTTTTTATTTTGTTGCACTTTTCCATCCTCACGCTCACCTCACCACTGTGAGAAGCCTACTCCACCCTGGGTCCCGGAGAGCACAGATCTGGGAGGCCGCTGGTGCTGGCCACCTGCCGGCCGCGGTCTCTTGGGCAGCCTGACTCTGGACGTGACCTGAGACCGTCTTTGAGCTGGATATGGCCCATGAACTTGTTTTGCTCCTCTTTTCCACCAGAAGCCAAGGCAAGCTTTCTGGGGCCACTCTGGACACGCAAAGCTTCGTCGGCTCCAGCGTGCAGTCCTGGTACATTTCCTTTTGTTTCTGTTTGCTAAAGTACTTCGCAAATCTCTGATAGTCTGATCTTCTCGGGCATCGTAGGAGATAGGAGATTTGGGGACACAGTGTGTAACGCCCTGGGCCTGCCCTCCTGGCCCCGCCCTTAGGTTCCCTACGGTGCACCTGTGACCACCCCACCCGGCAGTCAGGTCCCAGGCTGAGCCTCTAACTGCTGCTGCTGCCCCAGGTGCCCGAAGAGAATGATGAGGACCCTGCCCCGTGGAGAGAGCCACACGCCCAGGCCTCTGCAGCCAGCAGCTGTGCAGCAGTGGGGAGAGTGGCTCTCACAGCCTTTGTAGGACACCGAAGTGGGGAATCTTCATTCTGCACTTAGCATGCAGTTGCCCACTGCTGACCACCTTACACTCCTACCGCTTCTTCTGGAATCTTCCTGTGACTTCATCTCTTCCCGCCACCCTGTCCTCGAACTAACAGGCAGGCAGTCAGCCGGAGGACCACCAAGTCAGGCTGGCTGGCTAGATTACAGGAGAACGTGGATGCTTCTTTCCCTGTGCAGCTGTTGTGAATCTGAAAGGTGAACACGGCACACTTCCCAGAAGGTGAGTGCAGCGACTATGCAGCCTGACTCCAGGGCATTAACTCCTCCTGTTCGACTGACGTCCTGCCGCTCTCCTCCTGGCCATCCGTCTCCCTGGCTTCACAGCTCCCCCAGACTGGGAGGAAATGCCAGGCCCTCCCCCAAAGTTCCAGGGATACAGGGATATCTCCATCTTCTCTTTTGACTTTGAGGTCTAGGACACACCCGAACTTAAAACGATGCACTCTGTCAACAGCAATAATCCTCTCAGTACTGTGGGATGGATGGGTCAGAGTGGGCAGGCCGACTCGCTGTGCAGTGCACTCCTCAGGCTCACTGGACTAGCTGAGGCTCCACATGCATGACAGGAATAAGCACTGCATGTAGTGGAGCTGTCTGCCTGGGGCTGAAGATGAGCTGTTGTTATGGAATTGGGGTGGTATGGGGGGAGGAATGCTGTTTATCCATCTGTAGCTCATTGCAATGAATGTGGTGAGTGGAGTACAGGGATTATCCGTGTAGCATAGGCATGCACCCTCTGACCAAGCTCCTGTCCCTTGCACTGACTGTAACGTGCTGAAATGTCTTTGTAGGCCTGAAGGTGCACTTAACAAAACTACCTACTAAGGAACGACTATCGTTTGGTTTACTTATCTCTTTATTGTATCAGGCTTTTTGCCGTTCCATCCCCTTAGGTAGCGAGCTTTGATGGCTCATTCTCTGATTATTAATTTTCTTCAGAAGAAGACTTCTGATGTGGTGATAGCCATAGCTCAGCCCTTGCAGCGGGGCCCTAGTTCAATAGGGTGGCACTGGAGGGCTGGCCACCCCAGGGCTGTTAGTCATCCCAGAATCTCTGACGTGATTAACTCACCTCAAGTGATCTGAACCAGAGAGACCAAAGACATTACTCTTCTCTGTCCTCAGACTCTAGGTCACAGATCCTAGCCAGGAGAGGGTTTTCTGTTTGAACCCTTCCCCTCCCATCTGTGCACACCTCCCTCCTCTGAGACCTGGTTATCAGTTAAGTTCATCTGCTGGGTGTGTGTTAGTGGTCAGCCCAGCACAATCTGGTCAGTGAACAGCAAGCTTTTCTCCCGCATGCTGGCCAGTGGGCAGTCATTTCTCTAACAAACTTGTACGGTGCTTTTAGATTTCACAATAGAGAAGCTGAAGCACAAGGACACCGTAATCTCGATTCACTTGAGAATAGACCCCAAAATACAGGTAAATGGTACATGAGGAATATATTTCCCAAGTGGAACTGTGGTTTAGTCCATAAAGGGCCTTCTTCATGTTGCACATAGTTACACATTTTTAAAATTAGTTAATATCAGAAAGAATCAGTAAAAAATAGTTCCCAACCCTCCCATTTAATATAGGAGACCTCAAAACCCATGCTTTTTAACAACCTTACATTTTAATTCCTTGTTTGGCAGATTGGATTGAGCAGAAAGGAGAAAGAGAACATTAGCAGAAGGCAGTTCCCCATTTTCTTCCAGGAGCGACTTCTTCCTGGGAGTGGTGAAAATTGGTGGGTGGCAGCCATCCATAGAGTGAAATTGTTAGAAAGACTGTAAACTGCCAAACAGCCACTTTATCTTCCAGTTTTTTTTTTGAGCAAGAGTGAAGTCTTTTGTTGTTTATGTTCATGTTAAGAAAACAAATTTTTAAGACCAGACCAAAAAAAACCCCAGGTTGAATTGTGATCTCAGGAAGTAGCCTCTTGTCTACCATGTGGTATATTAGCACTTGTATTTATATCGGGGAATTTCAGGGTATATGTGAACATGTCTGGCATGACTCAGGTAAATCTTAAAAGAATGTACATTACTTACCACTTTCGTGACGGAGTGATCAGGAACTGAGTAGTTAACCAAAATGGTTGCACTGCATTACCTCGGATCACTGTGCAGACTTAATCAGGGTGTGGACCTAAGGTGAGAAGCCAGCAGATCAGATGCTAGTCTCTCTGCTCAGGTGAGATGAGCGGGGGCTCTCTGGGGAAACCCCGTGTGTACGTCAAGGGTGAGGCCCTACTGACCTCAGGGCTGTGCGCTCTAGGAGAGTAACCCAAGTTACGGTGATTTTCATTTACGCCGTGAAACTTCCAAGAGTCTCGAAAAATTTTGTCCCACAATCAGAGAAGAACGAGGAATGGTGTAAGGAAACAAAACAAAACAAAACAAAAACCCTTGCAGAATATTCCAGGTCAAAAGTTGTCTCCTCCACAACTTCCAGCCCCTTCCTCTTCCCCAGTGCGCTGTTTGGGGACCATGTGTGCAGTGGCTGTCAGTAGACTGCGTGGGTTTTTATGACACACCTCTAGTATTAATGATAACGTTACAGAGGTTGGGAACGAAAGCTGAGTAGTGTTAACTTGAAGTGCACCATCAGGACAACAAACCATTTAAGCTGAAAAGGCTTTCTTTTACTTCTTGAGTTCGCCAGTTGCCTCCCGCTTGAGTTAAGGATGTGTCTCATTTTCCCCTCCTTGCAGTCCCCCTGCCCTAACTGTTCACCACGTCAGGTAGAGGACATTGAATGTTACGAATTGAGAACCTAATCGATGAGCATAGTTTTCATCTATGCAATTTTACTTGCTTCTGTCACTTTATGATCTGTTCATATTTGGCATCGATTAAAGATAATTTTTAAGGATCTTATGATGGACTAGCTTGTTTGCTTTATTGCCACCTATTTAAACGGTCTTCCGGGGGCCTTTTCATAGCCTCTGCCATGGGGTCTCTGACGAGTGTGCTACCCAAGGTAAAATCAGGAGGGAGCCCTGACCCCTTTGGTGCCCATGGGCGTTTCTGCCAGCTGAGGACTTGCACAGGAAGGGGTTGCATTTTGATAATGAATCCACAGTTTGGTCTCAGGTAAGATCCCAAGTGGAGGCTGTTGGAATTTGGCCTGTAATAGTAATGGTGACTCAACTTGTAGAAAGGAAAAAATTAAATGAGGCCAAAGGGAGTTAGTCATTGGTCATAGTTGCTCACTTTGCTTTTAATCAAACTATTTTGCATCCACAGTCTGAGAAGCTTTGCAGGAAGGACAGTTAGGTGTGGGTGTGTGGTTCTGTGCATGCGTGTGTGTGTGTTTGTGTGTAACAGTGCTGTCGGCTGGCAGCTAATGACTTGAGAGTTACGCCATGGTATTAGAAGTGATTTTGAGGCAGCAAAGCAAAGTGCTTCGTCGCTGCTGTTCACATAGATGTTCCCACATAGTTCTGTGCGTAGTTAACCCTTCTTCCTGTTTTTTAATGACTTTTGATTCACTTCCTTTGGGCTCTTCCTGAGAAGAGATCTCCTTCCTTGTGAATATTCCATTTTATACCAGCGCTTTCCTGTCCTGTAGACAGGGCCACATGCTTCCAGATGGGCGTCAGGGACATGCCCAGTCCCCAGGTTGACAGGTGGACTGTCGTGGGGTTCCCTTGCATTTTGTTAGGTTTAAATTCCAAGAGGTGGAGGTGAATCTTGCTTTTGCAGCAGGCGGTGAAACCACTGAGCTAAATCCCCAGCTTCATTCTTGCTTTTGCTCAGAAGGAGCTACTGAAGCCGTGGATGTAGCTCAGTGGTACCGCACCTGCCTCGCAAGAGCAAGGTCCTGAGTTCGATCCCCGTTGCTACTGAAAGTAGACCCCGAGGCCATGCAGGCTGCCCAGGATTTTTCTGTTATCCGATAACAGGCCAGGCTAAGTATACCAGAGAAGGTAAGACAGCGTGAGATCTCCGCCGACAGCAGTGGGCACGCGTGCCATCTGCAGCATGTTCCTCGACGCTTGGCTTCAAAATGCTATGCTGCTCCAAGCAGAAGCGGACTGAGTGGAGCAGCTGCCGGCGGCCTGTGCTGCCTGCACAGCCTCAGAGAGCGCAGCTCTGCTTCCGGGCCTCCGAAGCCCCCTCTAGATCCAGACTGACTAGGGTGCGGGGAGGCCACTTTCAGGTGCCTGCGTGCACGTTCTGCACAGATAGGACTCAATGCCCCAGTGACAAAACTGGCAGCTTTCCTTGGAAGCAGCCTCAAGGCAGGCAACAAAATACCCTATTAATTAATTGAAGCAAAGATCCCGTCAGCTATAAGATACACTATTACTTGACATACCTGTGAGAGAGATTTATTGACAGTCCAGATTCCCCACTACATTGATTCAGCCCCATTTTAGAGCTAGAACAATGTGTGTTTTTGAAAAAGAAATCTTAGAATGGTTGAAGATGCAGTGATTCTAAATGCATGTCCTCCTTTGTTTCTTGATAAACGATTTCAATTCTGAATCCTTTAAATTTAGCAGTTTTCTTTGGATCTGAACAGTGGCTAGAACCTTTGGCTTTTATTTTCAGTGTTGGGGGATCGAACCCAGAGCCTTACACACACCAGACAAGGCCTCTACCACCAGGCGAGAACCTGTAGGTCTTTTTTTTTTTTTTGGTAGTGGGGATTGAACTCGGGTTCTTATGCTTGCACAGCAGGCAGCGAAAACACTGAACTAAATCCCTGGCCCTGTAGGTCTTCTAACTATGTTTTTGTCTGGTTTTGCTTGGCTTTAACCCCTAACTCAAGTGTCATTCTGGGAATTGGAGCTGTGTTAGCCAACAGCAGTGTGCACCTGAGACTGCTTACCGACGAGGGCCTCAGACTGGGTATGAGGCACGGAATGGGTTGGGTGCCCCTGCCCATCCCTCTCTCCCCGCTTCGGACCGTTCCCTCCAGCATCCAGCCTGCCCAATCACCAGCAGCTCTTTGCTGTCTCAAAGTTAGAGGTAGTCTGGCAGGTTTGCCTTCTTTGCAGTTTGCAGATCACTTTGTCCTTAATTATATTGTTTTAGTCTCCTTGGAGAATTAGGTAGGACCATCATGGGTGTTTTAACTTTGTAGGCTGAAGGATCTGCTCAAGAGAGAGCAGGCTGGGTGTATTGGGGATTCCACAGCCTCAAGTCTGGGATGCTGGAAGCCAGATGGTTACTGATTGAATGTTAGAAAATGACAGCACTTTCCACCCATGTGTAAGAAAGGACAGAGGACTTTGCACAGGCACTTAGTCTCTTTGAGTCTTTTAACTGCTTGTTTCTAAAATAGGAATATAATACCTCCTAAAGGTGTATGGATTAAGCAAGCTGATAAGGTCCATGTGTTTGGCAAATTGTAATGCACTGTAAAATATGAGTAGTAATGGATAGGTTATTAATTAACAGTGAAAGGAAGAGTAGGACAAGAATGCCAGTGGGTCAACCTCCTGGAGTGGGAACATTGTGTAGAGGTAGAGTCTGGGGAGACAAGGTGCTTGTTGCAGAGGATTTGCTCTGTGGTGGTTGCAGCCCCGGGGGTGGAGGTGTCTTCCAGAGGAAACTTCAGCACATCCTGCACCCAGCACCACAGTCAGCAGACCACAGCAGGTGATGCCACTGTTTCTAACCCTGTTCCTCCCTGCGTGTTTCACATCTCCAGACCCCAAGTACCAAGGGTGAGCTCTGCCGTGCTGTATGTCGAGGAGCCAGCAGGTACCTAATCATCCTGTCACTTCTGTTTGCCTCATTTCCTCATGTGCAAAATGTTGTCTGGTTTGATTTTTTTCCCTTCCACCTGTGAATATTGAGAAATAAAGCAAGGTGTTGCTTGGGAAATTTCTCATCTGCTTGTCTGAGAGATATTTTATAAATACAAGAAGCTATTCTTAGCTGTCCTTCCTAAAACTAGAACAACCCTCACAAGCACCTATGAGTCAATATAATTTCAGAATAGCATATACTATAAAGATGCTTATAAAATTTTATAAATTACCATGTCTCTGTGGTGGTCCAGCCTTTCCTTCTTAAAACAGTTGTATTTACATAGCAGTAAACGTCTGACTGCTTATCCTATGGGAATTCACTGTAATTGAATAAGAAGTTGGGTATCTATTAGAATCTTTGATTCACTAAACATTTTTCTAGGGAATGAGATTCAAGGGCGAATTGAGTTATCTATCTTCCAATGATTTTAAAAACAGGGTTATGTGGTATGCCCATGTTTGCTCTGATAGCTTCTTCTCAATGTTGTTTCGAGTGCTAAACATGAAATGCATTCTAGTGACATTTCCAGAGAAACTAACTCCAGTTGAAATTTATTTCTTTTCAGAATTGAAATTAGAGATGACAGAATGAAAATCAGAGATGGTCAATGAATAGGAGCTTAAGTTTAAGATAATCATATTTTAAGCTCAGGGCCAAATCCATCTTTTATTAAAAATCTTATTCCTCAATATAGTGAATTAAGAGTGTTTGGAAATCCAAAATACTTTAATTATCTTTACAATAATGATTATTCTTTCTCTCTCTCTCTTTTTGTCTTTTTGCATTCCATGAAATATCTTTTTACTTCTCAGAAAGGAAGTAATTTTGTTTTATGTGAGTTTCAAAGGGAAACTTTCTAAGACTAAGATTCACTGCACAGTGTGTTCTTCCTTCATTGTTAACAAGCAAAACATTTTTTAGCCTTAGAGAAAGTTGTACTTATGTCAGCCCTTCAAAGATGAGACAGACGCCCACCTCAGTTTTTGAGAGATTGCAGGATATTAGCTGATTGTTACAGGATATTTCTAGTGAAGATAGAATAACTGTCTTTAAAATTTCAACAGGATGAAAATCACATTAGTTGGCATTAAGAAATAATATTCATTCTTAGTGGATAAAATAAGTACTGTAAATATCATTTAGTCGCAGTGTTGGTCATTCCAAGAACAGAATAATGTACCTGTACATAAGAATTACTATTTTGAGAAGATGGGTTTGTCCACTGCAGAAATCTCCAAAAGTGCATCAGAGCAGAGTGCTTTAGTAAAAAAATACCTATTGGCTATGAAGAAAGGACAAATGTTGCTTAAAAAATCAAATACTTGACTTAAATTATAATTCTTAAGGTTTGCAGCAAGAGTGTGATGAATAAAATGAAAATTATGGTGTTTGCGTGCCTGAAGGTAGAAAGGTTGGCTGAGACTACTTTCACATCTCTCATTCTCAGATGGTGAGTAGATTGAGTCACTTGTTAATTACCTGGGGTTACCTTGGTTCTAAGATAGTGGAGGAGCAGTTAATGCTACTTACTGTTCAATGATGGGTTATTGCGCTGTTTCTAAAGGGCCACGTATATCATCTCAGGTCAGTTTAGTGTGTTCATTGCACAACCAATTGGTGATGGAGTTGGTTGTTGGACACTGGACTAAATTACCCAGGGAGCTGACGGAGTTTACTGAGATGGACTCTAGGAGCTAGGCTGTGACAGTCTACGCGGACATAGTCTTGCAGAGCAGAAGGGGAATACAGGAGACAGAAACTCAGATGCGATCTTGGGAAGCTTTAGAACTCTAGGGTTCAAAACTAAGGAGCAACATTTCATTAGGCTACTAATCTAATGGGGAAATGATTAAAGGTGACTTTTAAAAGACAAAGTCTTATAAGAAGTACTGAAGTGAGAATAACCATATTTCATTTTCATTAGGTGAAATCTCTTTCATTCACATAAATCTCATTCATATACACATGCACTTACATTCCCAGGGAATCATTCTATGAATGAAACCCTGTACTTCTTGCCCTGTTACAGTAATTCCCAACTTCTTCGCCCGGGTTGACATTTATTAAGGTTCAGTTCCCCGATTCAGAAAACACAGTAGTTGGGATTCTCG